TTTAATCAAATTATTTTATGTTTTTTAATTTGAAAAATCACTGACACAATATATTTTATTTTTATTTTTAATTAAAATAAATTTCGTCAATAATATTTTTTAAATGTAAGTATTTTTTTTGTAAATGTAAATACTTTTTTGGTATAGTTGTTTCATTTTATAAATGTAAGTATTTTTTTTTGTTCAAAAAATGTTTAGAGACTTAATCGTTCAAAATATGAAAGTTTATTGGTTATTTTTTAGACTTTTTCATTATTTTACCATATTAACCAGTTGTATAGGTTATAAGAATGTATTTAGTAGGTTTTAGAAAGTCCAATGAGTCGTTTAACATGTTTTGGAATGTTCAAGAATTTATTTGTTCCAAAAAATTGTCCAATGACTTAATTATTCAAAACACTAAAGTCCATTGGGATTTTTTAGACTTTTCCTTTAATAAATTAAGCTATAAAATATACTTGGGGTAAATTGCATGAAAAAATTAACGTATTTTAACTTGATTTCTATTTTAGGTAACGTACTTTTAAAACTTCTATTTTGGTTACTAAAATGTAAGGTTTTAAATATTTAAGTACTCGAGTAATTGGTTGAAACATTAACCGATTGTCATGCTGATGTGGCGAGTTATGTGATATCCAACTCAGTATTATTTGCTGACGTGGTTAGTGACATTGATTTTTTTAATCTAAAATTAGTCTATTTTTTTAATCTAAAATTAGTCTTCAACCGGTTACCCGGGTACTTAAATGTTTAAAACTTTACATCTTAGTAACGAAAATAAAAGTTTTGAAACTACGTTACCCAAAATAGGAATCAAGTTAAAATACGTTACTTTTTCATCAATTTGTCCATATGAATATAGATAAATAAAAAGAAAAAAAACGTAAAATTTGAAAACCTATGTAGCTTGTTGACAGGCTAGGATCGTTCGTGTTTTCCTAGTTGGCAGAATGTCCGCACAGTGGCGGTGCAAGTGCACGCCGACACTATGATCGCTTGCAAGTAGTAAAATGGTACAAAGTACCGAGATCGTTCCCACAGAGAAAGGATGATTTGAGATTTAGAGATTTTTCATGAACTTCTTGCACGAGTTTCGAGATGTAAAATAACTTTGGATTTTTGTTTATAAAAAGACTGAAATAGGACCGACTAGCAAAATAAACTTCTAATATTAAAAGATGGGCATGTGTGCAAGTGTTGCTTAAGATAAAATTAACAATAAAATGGTTAGACTTTTACGAGTTGTTTATAAAAGTTCCAATATCTCGAAAGTGAACTTTTATAACCGGGCCTTATAAAAGTCCATAAGGTTTTTACGTTTACCACTTCGAGACTTGCCGATCTAGCTAAAAAGTAAAAGGAATGCAAATTTCWCCCAAATCTCTTTGTGATGAAAATACTTATAGCTTAACCCCTAGCTAGATGCATGCAAAATTCGCGTCTCCGCGTAATTATTCAWAGACCCTCTCGAGTTCATTGTGCATCACTTAAGCCGTATTTCGGATCCACCCATCTCTGGGTCTAAGATCTAATATTAACACTTCAAAGTGATAAGCTTATCCGCGTTTTAAGCATCGTCTTAAGTGACCAAGTCACGAAGTGATAAAAGATAAGAACACCCAAATATTATAAAAACATCCTAAGTTAAACTCACACCCACACCCATACAAGTAATTTAGCTAGACATAATTAAAGACATAAAATAATACTGAAATATAAATTGCATTAATGTAAAACTAAATTACGAGTACAAGGAAGTAAAATACTAGAAATTAAAGACATAAATTAAAGACAAGAAGTTAAAGACAAGAAATTAAAGACATGAAATTAAAAAGCATTTATAAAGCATAATATTAATTACTAAAAGAGATGAGAGAAATTTAGAGAGTAATGTCTACAAAAGATGGTGTTTGACATCTCCCAAAATGGTTCTTGGCACTAGTTGGCACACTCAAAATGGCTCTCCCAAGCTTCTTTATATAGGGGAGAGGCAAAGGGGTGAATGACACCCAATCATTACCCAATGGTAATTAGTACTAGGTTAAAGAAAATACAAAAGAAACTAAAATACAATAAGGAAGACAGCTCATAACAGCTGGAGGAAAATATCAGGAGGAATCTTTAAGCTGCACGTTTCCCAAGAAGCTTTAGCAAGGCTGGAAGACGTCCCACAGTGGTGCCACAGTGGGCAGAGCTGTCAGAAAAATACAGATTTTTGGAATAATATCTCTTCCTTTGTGTTTCAACATCTTTTTAAAACTTTTTGGAATAAAAGACAAAAACAAGAAAATTGGGTATTTAAAAATAGCAAAAAAGGATGAAATAAATAGGAAATAACTCTTAAAAATAAGAGTTATCACTTGTTTAAAAATTCATCAATCGACTCTAGAAGTTGATATTCATGTTCCATTACGGTTTGTGTTAGTCCCGAAGGGGATGACAATAAACAGAAAGTAATTGTAGAAGGGGGTTGCATACAATTACATAGACATTTTCAACTTTTTAATTCTTATTGATTTATATCAAGAATTAATACACACAAAAATACAAAAGATTGTTGCGGAAGATAGGAAAGGAAAACCTAACTTAAACAATCTTACAAGGAGAAGAACTTACAAGAACAACATAAAGAGTTCTTGAAAGGAAATGAAGAACACTAAGAATTTTTCACACACATGAGAGCAAGGGAGTAGAAGAGAATAGCCGATTGCTTTGAGAATGCACTAAGTAATCTTTCAAAAAGCCAGTTATGTGCATAGGAGAAGCACGCTGCCTTTTATACTACCTTCAACATTTAATGCATGAGGACACTTGTCACCTGAGGATAAGAAGGTAGGGGTTGACTTGACCATTGTTGATATCTCATTTTCATCGTACACAGCGTGCATACAATACTGTTCATGTAGAGACAAACTTTTGCAGAGATATGGTCAGTCTGTAGGAAGATCTTCTTTGGATGGATTAGTAGCTTCAAGTAGCTACTCACAATTCTTCGGTCCATGAAGATTTTCAATCTTCGGTCTATGAAGATCTTCAATCTTCGGTCTATGAAGATCTTCAATCTTCGGTCTATGAAGATCTTCAATCTTCGGTCTATGAATATCTTCCTTCGATCGGCTTGTAGCTTCAAAATATTTTCAATATTCATTTCAGCTACTTTGGAGTCTTGATGTGTATAATAGACAGTTGATCCACAACACCGCATCGGTGACCTTCTGTCTTCACA